CCTAATAAAATAGTTATATCTGGTGCACACAGACTAACTGCTCAACCTTATTTAAAAAAAAAAATATATATATAGGCACACAGCCACTCTGTTCCCACCTGTGACTGTGTCGCAAGGTCAAGCAAGTGTTATACTAGAATGATTACTAATAAATGTAAGCAAGCTGACTGTATACTGCCTCCATTTTTCATTTATTCCTCGCCTTACTCTGTAGTATTTGTGTTTTGGATGACAAACTGATGTTGTGCAAGTTCTTTTTTTATGTATGGATATCATGTGCGAAATGTTAATTTTTTTTTTCTAAAGATTTTTGTTTCAGGAATATCCAAAGAATGGAAAGTATACAGGAGCCTGGTTTTGCTTTTTTTTAGGTCACTGGGGTAAAAGGGTTAAATTACTCCTATTGTAAGGAGGAGAAGTTAAAAACAATAGATACTAAACTCTGAACAGGTATTACACACAATTTAACACAGCTGTGCCGATTGGTCTGTAAAAATATGGGTGCTCTTCCCATATGCCCGATGCGCCTAAGGGCGTGTAAAGGGATCTTTACTTTTTTTTTTAAATTATGGGACAGAGGTAAGTAAACCAAAGCTTACAGACAAAGGGTTGATACAGCATTTGTCTGTAATAGATGACACCCCGGACATTATATTATCCTTGGAATGTTCAAGAAGCACACAGTGAGTTGTTCTGAGTTTAGCAAGATATCAATCACTGATGTTCAGATGTAATAATTCACTGCTTGTGATACTTCTGTTTCCAAAGGTTTGCTGGAAGACCAGCCATGAAGATAACAGGGACCAATACTAGCTGTCGATGGTTCTAGATCTCATGCTGATGGCTAGTTGAAAATACACATCACAGTTCAAGCCTTTAATAAAAAAAAAATTGGTTTGCAGATTAGCGTACTGTCAGGGGTACTAATAGAGAAGTAGTAAATTTAGTACAATTCTAGAAAATTAGAATATAAAAATGGAAACTGATTTTATTTCCTCTCACACAATTCTAGCACTGGAAGAAGGGCAGGTGAGGATTTTTAACTGTTCAAGATGGGTTCATGTCTACAGAACATTTTGCCCTGCTTAACAAATGTTTAATTCCCCCTGAAAAATTGAACCCTGTTGTCTGATGACTAAATCTAATTACTTCTGGTTGTGACACAGACCAGTGAATGAAGATGTGTCAGGAAAAAAAAATGTTGATAAATAAACAATTTGTTTTAAAAATTAAAAATAAAATGATTTTTTTTAAAGGGTTGTTTCTGGGAATTCCCACAGGTTTATTATCCATTTTTTTGTTTAGCATTCACCCCTGGGTGAAAGGCTTAAAGGTAGTTCCAGATTATTTACTGTTGGTGTGATCTCTTCTCTCTCTATAGAGAACTAATAACTATGGAGGTAAAGGATAGACCAGGAATACTAGTTAGAGGTTTATAATATGTACAATCTTTGTTATGCTGATGATACAGTATTAAAAGCTGAAAAAACAGAAGACCTACAACAACTATTAGACATTGTTGTACTAGAGAGAAAACAGAAACAATGGTTATATCAAAGAAGAAAACTCTTAAACGTTACATAGCAAGAGAAGGAAAAGTTCTTAAAAAAGGCAATAAATTCAAGTATCTGGGAAACAAATACCTTCCCTGTGTGGATTCCGGGGCCCTATTATAGGGAAAACAAGAATAGAACCACTGCCTACCCAAAAGTATGTTGTAAGAGTCGACTAATTGGGAGCTTCCTTCGAAGTCGGAGTGCATCTGCCTGAGAGGCAAGGAACCAGCAGTCACACAAATGAGTCATCTGTAAAACGGATGCACACGCAACACTCAAGTTTTGGAACGGGACTGCAGTCCAGAAGTGGATGAACAACCAGAACTTTCCGCCAGAGTTTACAGCTGGTGACCGCGAAGAAGAAGAAGAAATAGCATCACAACATCAGATGGAGCATGTGTGACAGAAATTAAGAGCAGAATTGGCCAGACAAAGGCAGCATTTTAGAAGATGAAAAATATCTTATGTAACAAATCACTCTCATTAAAGAAATATAGACCCACTGTCCTCTAACCAGCATGTAGCAAAAGTCAAATATACAGGGGTGTTTTCTCTGAAGTAGGAACACCTGAGATATGAGGGACCAACAGTCTGCACAACAATAAGCCAGATCTGTAAAATGGAAGTGCATGCAAAACATGACTAAAGACGACAAGTAGACGAACAATTAGAACTGCTTGCCAGAGTTTACTGTCAGTGAATGCGAAGAAGAAGAAGCTACAGCAGCTTAACTGTTTTCTAAGAAATACAACCATGGCATGTTAACAATGAGGAATATAAGATTAGATGAGATGTTTGAGAAGGGCTGCAAATAAAACTGGAAGAAACTGTGAGAAATGAAGAAAGTAGCAGAACTATAGGAACAACATCCACGATTAAATTCACTGAGACATATGGACTGAAATGTTTTGACTACATGATGAGAATGAACTCCGTGATGCCAACAGCAAAAGCCTACAACATGAACATAGAAATGCCAACGGGTAAAGGAACACTTAAAAAAGACTGTCAAAAGGATCACTGAACTTTAGACTATGTTGAGTTGATTCAAGAACCAACATCACAGCACTCGGGGCATTCCCATAAATGCTCCGTCTCCATCTTTAGCAGCCAGTGTAGAGTTCCAATACTAATGGTGTCAGTAGCATTTTGATCAAATGTCTGTCTTGCCTTTCCTCTGAGCCTCGAGCATTGCGCGGAACCCCTTGTTACTCCCCACTGCATCAATCTCACCAGACTGTGGTGATCCATCTGCTCCTCCAAACTGTACTACAAGGCAAACAAGTCCCACAAAGCACTAACCACGTCTGCCTTATCATGCATCAGTATTCTACCAAGTTGTGCAGCACCAGCCTTCAGATCTAACAACATACCAAGTGGCATAAAGCAAACACTTACATAAGAAGAATACATACATGTGCACATGCATATTATCACAATCGATGTCACTGTGCATTCCCATGCTTGCTCAGTGCTCTGATGCAGCAGCTACCTCAAGATACCTCTACTACATATATAGAAAACATAAATACAAATATAAATACTCAGGAACAGAGTCACTATGGGGTGAATCCTTGCTGTGAAGTTGGAATCGTGATAACCTGATAAATACATGTAAGCTTTAGCGTACCTGTGATGCAAGTGGAACCATGAAACCACTTTGATCTCTTGGTCGATCACTGAGCTGACTGTCAAGAGTTAAAGTGTATGGAGCATGTGGTGAAATGTTGATAGAACCATCCTGAAAAGATAATTCCAAAATGAACCACACACGTACTGTAGCTGTCATCTTGTTTACTTAACCTGCTGGATTTCAAATGTGTTGTAATTTCATGCTTAAGTCAGTTCCTACAAATAGAGGAATTTAAGCATTTGAAAGCAGTTTTCACATCCGACTGAAAAATGGACAGAGAAATTAGCTTGAGATGCGCCAAAGCTTATCAAGTAATGGGGTAACTATCTTCCCTGTTGACACACAAGCAGATACCCCGGCGTACTAAAGTGTATCTTTTCTATCGATTTTTTGGCCAACACTATGCTATCAATGCCAAACGTGGACACTTACATCCTCCAATGAACGTAAAATTGCGACAACAGAGATTAAATGCTTTAGAAGAGCTACAGGAGTTTCAAGGAAAGACAGAATACGAAATCACGAAATCAGACGAATGCTAGGAATAAAGACAGTCCCACAGGTCATCAAAGAACAACAAATGAAGTGTCTGGATTCCTAAGAAGAAATCACTGATACTATCTACCACAGCGAGCCACACTAAAACATTTTAATGGGTATATAGCGAGTGGAAGATCTTAGAAACGATAAAATGATGGCATTAAGAACAGCCTTACAGAAATAAACATCAGTCTTAATAGAGACAGAGCTCATCAACGAATGTTACATCTCCCCCCAACACTTCGATCAGGTATAAGATGGAAGAGAAGAAGAAAAAGAAAAAGAAGAAGTCAGTTCCTATTGTCAACACATTCTGATAGATTCAGCATGAAAGGCACTCTCCTTCCCTCTGGCGGCCTGTGGTACATCTCATGGGCAGATGTAGTGTAACCTACTCCCCCACCCCTCATCATAGTTACGTGAGGTCAAGGTAGGCAGTTTTCAGAAGTGTTCACCTTTTTAACTGTGCTAGGCAGAGGATGCTTCTATAGCAGTGTTTCTCAACCTTCCTAACGTGGCGACCCTTTAGTACAGTTCCTCATGTTGTGGCGACCCCAAACCACACAATTATTTTCGTTTCTACTTCATAACTTCAATGAATAATTGTTTTATGATGGCTTTTGGCGACCCCTGTGAAAAGGTCATTCAACTTAAAAAAGGGTTCCACAGGTTGAGAACCGTTGAGCACTGCTCTCATAGAAATAAACTGCAACCTACTGAAAGTATTTATTGCTGCCCCCTTTCTAAATTATATCTGTCCATGATTACTAATGACATATGGCATGGCTATAAAAAAGAAGATGACTAATGAAACAATAGTGTATAGTAGAACGAAGTGGGGCAATTAAAGTATCCTGAAAGGAATTTATAAACAATTAGTCTGTTGCTTAGTATCGAAAGAAATAAATAGCCCATTTGTGTACAGGAGATACACAGCTTAGATGTGTCATAGTAAACATAGTGGTACTGGCAGAAAGTCAGCAGTAATTACAAGACATAGTGGTACTGGCAGAAAGTCAGCAGTAATTACAAGGCATAGTGGTACTGGCAGAAAGTCAGCAGTAATTACAAGACATAGTGGTACTGGCAGAAAGTCAGCAGTAATTACAAGACATAGTGGTCACCGTGCGGCACCTGATTGAATGATTGTGTAACATGGAATAAATAGCGAAGTGGTTGTTTTGTTAACATGTCTGGGAGAGGGCCAATCTGAAAGGTAACAAACATTCATTTTTGTCCTCTTTGGCTCCCTCTTATGCAACTTTACTTGCCAGTTTATTAACTAGTCTTCCATTGCCCCGGATCGTAGGTGGCCTTCTGTCTTCCTTCACAGCCATGTTGCCATGGTGCTGAGCTGAAGAACCTCTGTATTTATAGCCTGAAAGATAAAATAAAAACCAGTCACAGTAAAGTGAATCAGTTCAAATATCTAGGACTCATTCTAAGTGACAAAGGGTCTAAACCAGAAATCATGTCACAAAATGCCCAAACAAAATCAGTTTTCTCTAAACAGTATGTATTATGGAGATTTAAAACAAAAATTACAAAAATAATGTAGAAACATATGACTGCTTAGAGTCTAGCTATTGGTACCGTTATATCTCACTGTGGAATGTAATCCTCAAAATCCATATTGAAAGAAAAAAAACAGGCATTTGAAGTAAGATCTTTCTGAAGATCCTTGGAATATCATATGAGACTACATCACAAATTATGAAGTTCATTGTATCATCATTCAACATACTGACTTGTATCATCATTCAACATACTGACTTGTATCATCATTCAACATACTGACTTGTATCATCATTCAACATACTGACTTGTATCATTATTCAACACACTGACTTGTATCATTATTCAACACATTGGCAACCATGTATTTCTTTTAACAAATGTGAAAAGATGGAAAATGCAATGTAATAAGATCTACCTACCCTCCGAAACAATACTTCAAGGTTCGACAGAGAAGGAAAGGCAGACCTGGATACAGAAACTGGCAGATTGGATAGGCCTCAAACTCACAAACATCAAGTCGACCACACCTGACTGACAGAGGTGGAGGGAACTGATAAGACATTTGACAGCAACTGCTGACCTATAAGACTATAAGTTCAATAGAAGGCAACATTCTTAACCACTATACTCTGACTCTATCTTAATGAGCTGAAAGGCACAAGGAAATGCATAACAATTAAGAGGTTTTCCCATGCCTTTGTGCATGTTAGGTTTAAAATTTAAAGTCAAATGGATCAACTCCATTGCATCAGGATTTATCTTATACGCATCTCTCACTGCTAAATGGCTGGCCACCTGCTGAAAGCGTTGCACAAAGTACGAACACTGTAGCTTAGCGATGACTACCAGATCTCCAAAAGAACTGCATTATGGGACCTCACTTGTGGCAAAAAGGGGGAGGGTGGTGGGAGAGAATAGATCCAGTATCTTCTAACAAGCATGTTGTAAACAGTGACAATTAAATGTTTATAGTTTGCTGAAATCTGATATGTTAAGTTACAAGGCAAAAATACTGCAGCCTAGATGTAAACCACAACACATCATGCCAACTCCACTTGTAAAAGAAAATGCAGAAGAAGGGAAAAAAAAGAATAAGAAGGAAAAGAAGATGAACAAGACAAACTATTTATAAGTTATTCTTGCCACAAACAAACACACACATGCATACACACACACATGATATCAGATATTCTCAATAAAAACAATTTATCAGTTATTTCTATACAAACAATTTATGGGTTATTCTCTACACAAACAATTTATTAGTTATTCTCTATTAGTTATTCTCACAAATTACCAGACATTGTGAACACAAACATTTGACCAGTTATTCTCTACATCAACAATTTATATTCACTTCTATTTATGAAAAAAGTAATGGCCTCTCAGAAACAATACAGCAGGGCTCAGTAGAGGGAAAGAGTGGAAAAAGCAGACCAAGAAAGACCTGGTTACAGAGCCTGACTGACTAGACAGGCCTCAGGCATGCAACCATGGTCCATCGCAACTGATGGCCAAACGTGGAGAGAGCTGATCAGACAGTCAACAGAAACTGGTGACCCAATGACACATAGTGTTATGGGATGATAAAGTAATGCGTGTATGTATGTATGTATGTATGTATGTATATATGTATGTATGTATGTACAAATACATACATACATACACGCATTACTTTATCATCCCATAACACAGGCAAGATAGTATGTCTCTTGGTTTTGTTGTTGTTGCTTTTTGCAATAGTTAGCTACTGCAGCTTCCACATATGGCCTAGAGTCTATGGTTTCACTATCTAGGCTGCTGAGTTAAGTGCTAGGTGCAGCACTGTAAGCAATACATTTCTGCAGAATGTGCGCAGCAGTTGTGTCATGATATTCTAAAAATGGTGGGTAGGTGCTTTGCGTCTAGGTTGGCAAAGATATCTTAAACAGTTATTTTGTGTGTCTGTGGCCAGCTCTCCTTGACTAGGTACTTATTTTCATCAACAACACAATGCAATTCTGGTGGTGACTGTTTGTGTTAGTATCTCTAGCAGCTGCTGCCTTAAGCATATACTGCATGTGCGTGTTTCTAGATTTTGGCAGGACTGATTGTCTGTTCACTGGTTATTAAATGTTTTTTCAGGTAATTTTTACTGGCACAGGATTTAGGAAGTTATGGTACACATCTGCTTTCTAATAATAAGTACAACCAACTTAGTATTTCTATATGACTACCACTGCTACTACATGTATGTATAGGGCAGCCATTGGACATATGATGACCTTGTTAATGAGCACAGATCATTGCTCTTACTTCTCAAGTGTGTAGGCTGCAGCTGTTTGGCTTGTGGGTTTGTGAAGGCAGCAGAAGAGCTTCCTTGATGTTGTCTGGCTTTTGAAAGTAGTGCAGGTTGTTGCTTCTGTCTGTATTTGAATTAAAGACATTTCAATTCTTCACAAAACTGAATAAATAAATACAAAATAAAAAAACCTGAAAATAACAATTCAAGTTAAAGTGAAAATCACACACTGACTGTCTTGAAAGAATCAGCTCAGAAAATGGGACTAGTTATCAATCAAGATAAGACAGAATACATGATAATAACTAAGCAGGGAAAGGATATAAACTCCGGCCACATACAAGTTGATAATGTGAAAATAAAACTAATGGAAACATAAGTACTTGGGTGCAAGCTTCAACTGCTCCAACATGCTGAGAGAAGAAATACAATCTAGAATACAATCTGGAAATAAAGTATACTATGCCCTTTAACATCTGCTAAAGTCAAAGTGTCTGTCTCGCAACACCAAGATCAAAATATTTAAAACGTTGATAAGACCAGTGGTTTTATATGGCTCTGAAACTTGGAGCACAAAAGAGATGAAGCTTCATTACAGATTTGGGAAAACAGAGTCTTATGACACATCTTTGGACCCCTCAAAGAATCAAAACAGCGAGGAATGGAGAGTGAGAAGCAACAATGAAATTCATAATCTGTTTAAATCACCACTGATCACTGGCATCATGAGAGCTAATAGACTGAAATGGTTGGGGCATATTGAAAGAATGTCAGATGACAGAGAAGCAAAATCTGTATACACCAGGGAGATGAATTGTTGTAGACCACGAGGCAGACAAAAAAGGCTATGGAGAGATAATTTCCAGATATACCTGCAAACACTTGGTGTCACTAACTGGAAAGAGAAGACCTACCAGAGAGATGAATGGAGGCGGGTGATATCTGCAGCAATTAACCTCAAGGGCTGAGAATGCTGAAGAAGAAAAAAAAAAAAAGTGAAAATCAGTGGATCCTTTATAACATGTGGAAAAACATGAAGTTACTCTCTGTACGTCTTCTAAATTTCTGTCTCTGATGGTTGCTGACATATTAACCCATGTCTTTTCTAGTTATTATTGCAAATGCTGGTCCCTTAAATTCCATACCAGTTGTTTTGTGAACTTCTGTCTACAGTAGTTGCCACTTAGACACACGTTGTCCCAGAGTGTTCCTCAAGCCAACAGTTAAGCAAAGATGTCAAGCCAGACAGTTCTTGAAGCCAGCAACTAAGCAAAGTTGTTAAGCCAGACAGTCTCTGAAGGCAACAACTAAACAACTTATCAAGCCAGACAGTTCTTGAAGCCAGCAACTAAGCAAAGATGTCAAGCCAGACAGTTCTTAAAGCCAGCAACTAAGCAAAGTTGTCAAGCCAGACAGTATCTGAAGGCAACAACTAAACAACCTATCAAGCCAGACAGTTCTTGAAGCCAACTAAACAATGTTGCTAAAGGCAACAAACACAGTTTTGCAAGTGAGCTTCACTGTTTAAAGAAGTAAGAGTTTATAAAAAGTATGACATCACAGACAGACTTTAAGGCAGGGAGACAGCCAGTCAGACAGAGTGATGCAGAGAGACAAAAATATAAGAAAAAACAATGAAATAAAACAGCTCTTACCTTCGCAAATTAACAAGTTCTGGCTTCATTTTAGATTTCAGATCCTGGTCTATAACATCATCATCATCACTGATGTTCAAGTCAACACTTTGTGTTTTCACTGCTGATGTAACAAAATCATTTGTTGCTAGAGGGTTACAATTTACATTTCTATCTACACGCACCCTACTGTGAGGTAATTGTAAAATGCACAAATACAGTGGTAACTCGGCATATATCCTTCCAGATCCTTGGGCCAATACCAGACAGGACATATACCAAACAAATGTTCCCATCAGAAATAAAGGGAGAGTGATTAATCTATTCCCATGAACAAATCCTTTAGTTATTGGCACATTATATATTGACGGGGCTGTATAAAATAATTTAAAACACTGCGCAATACTAAAATACATAAATACAAAAGCAATGGAATGAAATAAATAAAATGTAACTTTACTAAAAGGGGTCGAGTGCCTACTAGGGTGATGTTGAAAAGGAAAGAAGAGATGTAATTGTCTGAAAGAATAGTTCCCTTCCAACAAAACTTCAGGATTCTGAATTTCTGGTGTTCCTTTTTTTCCCGGTTTCCTTTCCCTGCTTGAACCTCATCTTATCCACCAGCTGCACAGATGAGTCTGTTGCAATCTCAGCAGGACCAACAGATCAGACTTCATCAACAATCATACAATCCTTAAAAAGATTTTTTATTTTTTTACCAAGCTGTGCACCGCTTTACGAGATAAATATTCCGGGCATAGACAGGAAGGATATCCTTATGGATTTCCTTTGCAGGCAGCCTTTTGACCCTAGCCTCCCCCCACCCCACCTCCCCCCCCCCCCCTCCAAAAAAAAAACTGCACAACAGCATATTGTTCTTTGAGGGTATACTCCGAAAGTGCAGTCACCATTTCGTTTCTGTGTTGCGAATGTTCATGCAACACCTAGCACCACCTAACAAATGCAGACATAAAGTTCAATGTTGCTGTCACCTAATGACATCTTGATAAATCACCAGCTACATTTTCATGGCAACCCATAACCATTTGTGACTTACTTATTGACTTCACCTTGTATAATGAGGAAATGTGACAGGTAAAAATGTTAAGGAACAATTGTCAGTTACAGGCTCCAATAAGTATCATTAAAATTATCAAAGACATGAAAAGTAAAGAGGAAGACTTAAACAATAGCAAAACTAGAGCTGCTAAAGCTAGAGCTCAGGAAAAACACACAGAAGCTAATAAGGAAGTGAGGAGGCAAATAAGGGCAGATAAGAGGAAATATTCAGATGACCTAGCACAAGAAACAGAAACAGCAACAGCAAAAGGAAACCTCAGAGACCGTTACAGTATCCTAATGATTTTAGTAGGTAAGCTAATAAGGAAGTGAGGAGGCGAATAAGGGCAGATAAGAGGAAATATTTAGATGACCTAGCACAAGAAACAGAAATAGCAGCAGCAAAAGGAAACCTTAGAGACCGTTAAAGTATCATAATGATTTTAGTAGGTAAATACAGTCAGCCAATTTGATCAATCAAAAATGTTCAAGGAAAATACTCACCAACACTAAAGATCAAATGGACAGATGGGCTGAATTTTTTGAAATACTTCAGAACAGACAAGCCTCAGAGTTTCCTGCCTTTAGAAATGGAAGTGGATATCAACTGTCAGATACCATCTAAAGAGGAAATTTAAAAAGCTATCAATCTTCTGAAGGAAGGAAAGGTGGCAGGTCCAGACAGTGTCCAAGCAGAAGTTTTTAAGGCCAATATAAACATCAATGGAATCGCTGCACTGATTATTTAGTAAAGTCTGGGAGGCCGAAGAAATACCAGCAGACTGGAGAGAAGGATATCTTGTGAAACTGCCAAAAAAAGGTGATCTACAGACAGGTCAAAACTATATATATATATGTGTGTGTGTATGTGTGTGTATATATATATATATATATATATATACATATATATATATATATATATATATATATATATATATTATATATATATATATATATACACACACACACTTGTATATAACCACAAGGTAATAGAAAAACAGGAATACAAAAAATAAACAAAATAAAAAAACATACAAAAGGGAGCCAGAGACTGAACTGAATTAAGGGGTCACTACACCAATTATTTTATAATGGTCATTTGAAGGGATACATGTTATTACATTTACATACTTTTAGTGTAAAAAAATCATGGTTGTCATGGCAATAGCCGCCATCTTGAGGGGAAAACAACATTTACTTAGAATCCTAAAATTATAAAAACGAACATGTGTTAAACAATAAATGATAGATTCATTTCCTTTTATCATGTCTAGAGGTACAGGTGTAGTTTATTTACTTTAAACATGTTTTTAAATATTTTTCGTAGAATTTTAAAATGTAGGTTTATTGAAAAAGTCAAACAAATCTTGCATCATAAGACAATAATCAAATTTTAAAAAACAAAAACTTTTTCAAATCTACTTTTAAAAAGACCAGTCCCTATAATATTGTTTAAGGAGTTTCCACACTGAATTTCATGTTTCTAGTCTTGATATTAGCTGAGATGTTAGGATTTCACACACACAACAAACAGAAATAGAGATGTGAGAAAACTGACTTTTTAATCTTAAAAAGGTGCATGGGTTGGTGCCTTTAGTATTAATTTTTCAATGCTAAATTGTTTACAAATGACACAAATTTTGTGTGCAATCTATTCTACGTATGCCGAACTTTACAAAAACGAACACATTGAAAAAGTGATATTTTTGTCATAAATTGGAGAAAAAAATGCAGTGTAGTGACCCCCTCCCAAAAAAGATGGGGAGGATATGTAACAGCTAAAGATAGAAAAACTTGGTGTGAGTTGGTTAAAACCTATGCTCCATGGGGGATTAGAACCCAGAAGAAGATATTACACGCACCTCTTTACAAGACTCTCGGTGCTTAGTCTCACTCACCTTCATCTAAAAAAGATTTAGCTCGAGAAACATCTTCTGGTGCATCTTCTGGGTGTCTGTGAGCTGCTGTAGTCCAAGCAACTGCCTGCAACATGGAGTTACAGTGTGTCATGTGATCATGACAAAGAACTTTCTAATCTAATGCATTTATATGGACAAAAGTAAGGATGCCTCATCATTCAGAAAGTATGGAAACTACTGAACATTACAAATTAAATTCTGTGACGTCTCCACAATGACGGTTGGCTATACAGTGTATCGCTGCTGTCTTAACTCTTTGAGTCCCAGAGGGTTTAGCATCACAGGCCCAAGGGGTAGTCAAAAGAGACGTAAAATCGGCGCATCATGCGTTCATTGGGCTTCTAGGCAGTAACCTATGAACGTAGGATGCGTTCCTTGGGACTCAAAGAGTTAAGGAACATTACATAGTCAGCCACTAACCTCTTCAATTGGTTGATTGTCGTACCGAAGTCCCCAAACCATGAGAACGGTTTTAAAAAAAACACACACAAAAACGGTCAGCATGTAGGAATTGAACCCTAGTACTCAAGGGTCATGAAATTGTTAAACTTATTCATTAACATTTAAGCCACCGAGTTACACATAGTGAATATAACAACTGATTGGTAAAACCCCAAAAGCTAAGACATACTGGGGTTAATTTGTGATGTCCTGAAAAGGATATACAACTTTTAACTTCTTCTCTTTTTGCAGTCATCTCCTTGAAGTGGTGGGGGGAGGATCTTCTGTGTGCTCTTTCTCGTGCAATGTATAATAAGCCAATCTTAATTTCTTTTCGGCTGTTCTTAATGCTGTTTTTTCCTTGTCCTGTGTTCATTATATTTCTTCAGCATGGCTCTCTGTGGCAGTTAGTACCGTATGCATTTTTGTCAGACAGAAAAACTATTTTATATGTTGCTCTTTAATGACTGAATTCAGGTTTCACGCCTAGTCTTCTTATGATTTCTTTATATGTAATGGTTACTCCAAAAACTTGTCTCTGTTATGATTTTGGGCTCATCAATTGTAGTAAGAGTACTTTGCCTTAGCATACTAACTTTTAACTACACCCACAAAAATAAGTGTAGCTCAAACAAAATACCAACTGTTTCAGTCCCAAGAAACTGTTATTTTAACTTCTTTCTATCTAATAGAGTTGAGACTAAAAGTAATTATAATTTAGGACTGAAGAAGTTTAACAGAGACATTATAGGACAGAAGTAGTAACTTTAAAATTTCAAATAAAAGGGTTAATATAATATCTGTCAGTGATAGAAGACAGCACGAACATTATGCTTGCTATCTTTGGAATGATTAGGAAACATATGATAAGCTTATGGTTTTTGAAGAGTTAAATGCTATACAGTTAACTGAAACTGCAGCTACAAGTAATACAAAGCAAGTGTGAACTCTACCTGTCCATTAGCTCGACACAGAATGGTACTGCACTCTGGTCCAGTTCCCCATTTCTCTTGTTCTTGCCAGACAAAGTCTGTTGGTGGGTTGTGCAGTTCAGGGTCATTCATGGCTGACCACACAGTGGTCGTGCCTGATGGGAGGATCTTCACATTTGGTGGGAACCTGAAGACGGCCACAGGACGTCCATTGATGTTTTGTCTCAGAATATATCCACCAATTTCCAACTCCTAATTTTTTTTAGTGAAATAAACAAATAAATTACATAGTAATTATATTGTCTATAGTTTATTGCTGGAGTGGGCAGTCAATTGATAAGAACATGAGGCTTCATAAGAGGTTTAAACTTTCAGTAAATAAAAGGTTTTAGTGAAGGTAAAGGCACAATAACAACGCCATATTTATCATGAGAACACTTCAAGAAAGAATGCATGAAATGAACAGAGATCTGTATGTGTGCTTTGTTGATTATACTAAAGTATTTGATAAAGTGAAAAAATGAAGAAATTATCAGAATTTTAGAAATCTTAAACATTGATGGCTGAGATCTGAGAATGATTAAACAAAAACATAAAGTGGCAACAAAAAGCAGCCTTAAGAATTGACAACAAAGGTAGGACTTTTCACAACATAAAATACGATGTTAGACAGCGATGAGTACTATCACCTGATTTATTCAGTTTGTATGGCAAAATAATAATCAGATCCAGAATGGTTGGTGGGCATGTTGTGAACAACCTGCGATTTGCTGACAATATGGTTCTAATGGCTGAAAATGAAAAACAACTGTAAGAAATGATGGATGGTCATGTCCTGAGAAGGAAATAACTGGAGAACATTGTCATGTTGGGAAAGTCGGAGGGGAAAATTAGCATAGGGAGACTAAAAGAGAAGATGCTAGACAGTTTGACCACATGCAGGAAGATCAACTGTGTCAGAACTGATTAAAAGGTTATGAGACAGATGGTTTTGGTTGTCACTTTTATATGACTTGATGCATTTGGGGAGTGGTAATGAGTTACTATTACAAGGGTTAGAAAGCAGAAGAAGAAGAAGAATGAGTTGAGATCAAAGAAATGGTTTGCTTACACAGAGAAACCCACTGATGCCACATCATACAAGGCAAGTAGAGACAAAAGAAGCTGACAGCGGTGTAGAGTCCAAGAACAAGGTGGACAAATAATAGCTGGGAAACTCCACAACAAAACTGTCAAAGTTTTTTTTTTTAATGGACAAGGCAGCCAGTAAAGTGAGAACCAGAAACTGCAACAAAAAGATCCTGGAGAGACTTTGAATGACAAGAGAGTTACTGACAGATATAATTCCTGGATAGGTTTTGGGATCCTATTTGGGGTTGAAGGGGGGGGGGGGGGGGGGGGGGGGGGGGGGGGGGGGGGGGGGGGGGGGGAGGGGGGGAGAGAGATAGAACACCAACCTCCATAACAAAGAGAGGTGAAGAACTAATAGTCTGCATACTACTAAGCCATTCTGTAAAACAGCTGTGCACACACAACTCAATTTAGGACCAAGATCACAAGCTCCAGAAGTGGATGATTTCCACCGGAGTTTAAAGCTAGCGAACTCTAAGAAAAAAAGAAGAAGAAGAAGAAGTGAAGAAGAAGAAGATGAAGAAGAAGAAAGAGAAGAAGAAGAAGAAGAAGAAAAAAGAAGGAATAAATTTATGAAATGAGGGAATTCCTGGGGAATCCCTTATGATATAGCAGAGTGACAGGCCAGTGAGAAAACGTGCTACACCAAATGGGGAGTGGGGGGGGGGGGGGTGGGGGGGGGAGGGGGGGGGGATGGGGTGGGGGGGGGGGGGGCCGGGGGGGGAGTTTACCAGCGTAAACTTTGTGCAAATGGGACAAAGGTTTGAAAGAGTAAATGAGATAACGGCAGTTGACAGATAAGAGCGTCAGCAGCGGAAGAACTGGGATTCATCTGTGTCATGATAGCAAGCTGGGCTGCAGTGTTGAATGAAGAAGACCGGCTTACTAGATGATTCCATGCATGTTCGCTAAAATGAGAAGCTTGGACTGAAAGGTAAACACTGGTGCGCTCGACGAATGATCTTTTCTGCCAAACTTTGTGTCAGCCAGTTTCATGACGACTCGGTAACGAGACTACCGACTAGACTGCATTGTTGTTGGAACTGCCATGATAGCTGTTCTAACTCACCTAACAACATGATAGAAGTTAGAAACAAGTCCAGGCAGGTCCAGTTTGAATTCAGGGACAACATTATACCAATTAAAAAAAAAAAAAAAAAAACCAAAGACAAAACTGAAATATTCTGGCCACTTTAAAGGACATACCATGCTTTTAAAAACCTTACTAGAGGGAAAAGTCAAAGGCAAGAGAGAGAGACAACAAACCAGGTGGGAAGACAACATCGAGATGGTCTGAAGAGGTATCGAGATGAACGACCCATAGAATTTAACTTGTTTAATTCCAAGATGTTTTACAGAAAAATGTTCACTTTTATCTTTGGTAACACTAAATTTCAAATGGTCAGATTTCCGAACCAATACACAAATAAGGCAAGAATCCAGGCAAGAGTATGTGTCAAATTTTATACGAAAACGCCGCTGGAACTATGTCGGCCACACCCTTAGAATGGATAAATCAAGACTTCCTTACCAAGCCCTCATCTGGACACCACAGGGGAAAAGATCTCGTGGAAGACCAAGGGAAACCCTACGTAGAACTATCATCAGGGAAGGCTCGCTCATGGGCCACTCAAACATCCAAGACCTACAACGGATTGCAACGGACCGCCGTGCATGGAGAGTCATGACCTCTGCCCTATGTGCCGCACTCGACACAAGAGGAAAGACTAACTAACTAACTAACTAACACCGTCGAACAAAAACTGTTCTAGCATTGTAGTAAAATAAACAAAGCTACCGGGGTAAGACTGTCTGATAGCCTGATGGTTTAGGGCTCAAATTCAAACTGACAGATTTTTTTTTTTCTTTTTCAAAATTGACCTTGGCTTCAGGGTTTACTAAGCCTAAAGTGGAAAGCAGGTAGTGTCCTGGGAAACAAATGTGGCTGGCTTGTTGAATATATCATCAATCTATTACTGACTGATCTATACAGTTATATGTCTAGCACTATATGCTCGATGCACTATCATCATCATCATTAACTTCCACTTCTGCTGTCAAGTATTGCGGGAAGGAACAGTTTGTGAGCCATTGCTTGATGGGTAGTAATAGCTAATGTTATTCCATGTCAATGTAGATGGTCTTTGATGTCATCAGTCCATCTCTCATAGGGTGACCTCTTAGTGTTACTTTAAATTTTGTTCATGTAGTTGTTCTGGCTACATTCTAGCGAAATAATCTGATCTTCTATTTCACGCAACAAAGGTGGAAAAAGGGTCATTTACTTACTTTACCTATTGCCACTGGGGTAGCCAGATTTATTTAGTATGTTCTTACCAAACTTAATAATAGGAAGAATGCACCTGACAAAATGTGTGAAAATATATAAGAGCTTGTCACACATTAAATATTCTTTGGTTGTCAACGAGGCAGAGTTAAAGCATTAATGTAGAAACTATTTAAGCTTGTGTTCTCAGCAACACTCTTCTTCATAATAGTTAAACTTGGTCAACTTACTGGCACCAGGAGAAAATACCCAAGTTGCTTTCACATGCAATGCCTAGGAATAATACTTGACATTGAGGGGTAAGACCGATCACAAACACGGAGGTACTGGAAAGAGCAAATACAACAACAGTACTTCTTTAAATGATCAGTCTTTGCAGGCTTATTTGGTTAGGTAACACTTGAAGGACGGAGGATGGTAGAGCCTTCAGGATAGCCTTTATGGTGAATTACAGATATGTAGAAGGTGTAGAGATTAGTCTCTGCTACGTTATAAAAATGTGTGTAAGCGGAACATGAAGTATACAGGTATTGAGGTATATTCATGGGAACAAATTGCCATAGACCATGTTGCGTAGAGGGAGAATATCAAGAAGGAAATAGGGAGAATATCAGGAAGGAAATAGGGATAAAGAAGAAACTGATTACAAATAGGTTAAGAGCTCAGCATCTGAGAAGAAGAAGGTAAAATACATGCAATATCAAAAATGGTCAGGAAATCCCATGATCCAATCATGAAAGACTTGTTTTAATGCGAACAGATCTTACCAGTCTAACTTGCCCTTGCCATGGACTCTGATTGCCATTCTTCCTATAACATACAAAATTAACACTATCATCTGGTGAGACAGAAAAGTGCCAACAGTTACTGTTTTTTACTTACTCGTGGACCATCATTGACGAGCCTGACAAATCTGCCATCTTCATCCATCTCTAAGATCTTCAGGTCACCAGTGGCACTGTGGATAATTTTTGGATTCTTTTGAGCGAGGAAAACATAAAATTACTTTGCAGAACCAGAAAACTTTGTGCTACACCTGAGACAAGTTTATGCTTCTACGCAGTCAAACTTATAGGACTTTAAATTTAAACAATCTTGACAAATAACCACATCTTTTCTGTAGCTTCATGATCAAACAATATCTAATTGATGTACATTCTGTTTTTATTTGTACCTCATTTTTTTAAAGTCTTCTCTCCATTCTTGTTTCCTCAATGTTTTAACATCATACAGTGCAGACCAGATAAGAAAATCTCGTTCGGGACCCAAGAAATGGTTTTTCTGAAAAGAAATTCCTCTTATCCAGATAAGAGTTAAAGCAAGAACAATTCCTGGGGATAAACAAATAATTCTTCACAACAGAAATTTGCCACATCCTAGATCGCCTTAAGTGGTTTGCACTGTACTGTCGACCATCATCATCATCATGTGCTCTGCCAGCTGGTGTAGGCTCACATGCATCTCCACAGATGACGATCCCTGGTTGTCTGGAACAGCTTTCTTGATGATATCTCTCGATGCCATCGTTTCAGCTCATCCAGAATCATCTCTCTTGGTGCACCTCCACACCATTTTCCGCTGTTTTCTAGTTGTGATTATGTTTTTCAATGCCTCTCTTTTCATTACGTAGCTAAAGAACAGTGTTTGTCTCCTTCTCATTGTTGTACATAGAGATCTACTTTCAATAGCTTCTTTTGAACAATCATTAGGTACT